AAACGAATATATTTTGAGGGGATGCATGTGGATAAAATGATAAATGTGATTTTTAAACTTAACTTTTCTAGGTGAGTAAGATTTTATTTGAAGAAATGGTTATATAGAAAACAGTCCACCTTTTTCCCCCTTGTGAAAAGTAGAGCTGTTCCGGCTGTGATGGTATTATGGGAGGGAGCTGAAATTACTGAGTGCTCTGCCTTTCCTTCCACCAGTCATGGTACGTGTGGTACATGAGGAACTTACGTAAACTCAGTACTATTGGAATATCATTTGAGACCAGTCATAGTTTCCTGTGCCTAATGTACTTTTAAAAACCTGAATAGTCAAAGTTGTAGGTGTATTAAAAATGTTTTGTCAGAGATTTAAAGGTAAACACCTTGAATGTTTAGGGATTGCTGTACAGTTAACCTTTAGTATTGTGTTTAGTGCCACTTGTCATTTAAAATTGGCTGGAGTTTATATCAGTTGTATTAGGAAAACTCATTTTTGCTTTCAAGTGTCCCTGGTAAGCCATATCACATCTGTGCTCCACCTTTTTAAAGTAACAAGGGTTGAGAACAATTGTATTCGCGAACTTAATGATTAGCATCAAGTGTCATTAATTTCCGTTAGTGGACTGTGACCCACGATGACAAAAGTGAAAATGTGTTTGTAAAGTCTGTAAGAATTTATATAAATTTTGTTTTTAGGGTTTTTTTGTATTTTATTCTGAAGTGATGTAAGTAGGAGCCTCTTTAAAATATTTGAGAGATCTGCATATTGAGTACATTACTTAAGTTCTTTTATGTATATAAATACCATTTGTGAAGATCCTCATATACCTGGCACACAGTTGACCTTTAATTTGAAAGGACTGATGTCATCACTTCCAATTCATTCAGGTTGTGGAGAATAAACTGACATTTATTGAGCCTGCTATACTGAACAATATTAGGATCTCTCTGTATGTTAGTCCTTATTCAGTTATTAGGAACTAGGTAGTGGTTGAATTTTACAGGTGAGACAGTTGAGATTTCTAGAGATAAGTTGTTTGCTTAAGATCTTGCAGTTAGGAAGTAACAGCTTAGAAACCAGCTCTTTAGAGTGACTGCTCTCTGGTGAACCAAATGTACCACTTGCATCTCTGTGGTAACCTTTACCTTCTTCCCTTACAGAATCATGGGAATCTGGCTGTAGTGAGTGAGTGCTTTTGTCTTTTGCTCTGTGGGAGAGAGGAGGTGGGGGGGAACAAGCCTTGGACATGTCTGTGCTTTTTCTTGGTTTTTGGTAGGTCACACAAAGTCGATTATAATTTGGGCACTTAGGTTTTCAGAGGTCTCTGTTCTAAACCCTTAAATTATTAGATGGTGTATGAATATTTGGATCAGTGTAGGAGCTGGGCTCATCGAGCCTACCCATGCAGATTGTCGCTTGAGTGTGTGTGCTGAAGACATTTGGTCACTTTTAGGGTCACCATATTTCCACTCTTTGTTAGACCACATATATTGTTGAATTTATTATGACATGAGCACTGAGTCCAGGGATCATTTTCCTTGTTTCCTGTTTGATTCTTATTACAGGTGACATTTCTTTTTAGATACACACAACTTGGATTTTATGGATTGTTCCAGAATGATTTCCAGGTTTGGTAGATAAATAATAGGTCACCCTGGCTGTTAGAAGGGAGATTTGGTCATTATAATCAATCTTATTTTAGTAAACATGTCTTATGTCACCTGAAGGAGTTTAACATCTGATTTAAATTTTTTTTTCCTCTTTCTAGTTGGTCAAACACAGGTATTTATGTATACTTTTCTTTGGATTCTTCATTTGTAATTTAATTCATTCAATTACATAGTGTCAATTGCATTGTAATTCTGTGCAAAATTCCATTAAAACATTACTTTCTGAGGCTGAGTGCCAGTGGTTCATCTGTATCCCAGCTACTCAGAAGGTAGAGATAAGGAAGATCATGGTGCAAATAGTTTGTGAGACCTAATATTAAACATTGCCAACAAAGGGCTGGATAGGCTGGCTCAAGTGGTGGTAGCTGGCCTGCCTAAGTGAACGTGAGACCCCAAGTTCAAACCCCAGTTCTGCCTAACAAACAAACAAACAAACAAAAAATCACATTACTTTCTGAGAAGGAAGTTCTTTCTTTTGGGGGAATCCATTTCCAAACACCTTTGTGTTTGAAGTTTGACTAAGTCTGCTCATTACCATTGGGGAACAATATCTTTATTCTACAAATACTGTTCTTATTGTAGAAACAAGTTTTTAAAATAAATTACCAAGGAGCCAATCCACCTGAACTGTGAAGAATGGAAATATACTTATAAAAATACACTTTAAAAAGCTTCATGTTAGATGAAGAAAAGATTTTTTTTCTTGTGTGTTCTTCTGTAAAATAAAGGAACGCTGGACAGTGTTTATGGTATTTCTGTTAAAGAATGCTTACACCTTTAAAAGAAGAAACTGTACAAAACTTACATTGCCTATTTTATTTGGAACCATTTTGAAGGAGTGTGAAATGAATGCTGGAATTCAAGGCTTTGACAATCTCATGACTAGAGTGTGAAATTTAGTTGCATTGTATTGTAGTGGGTTTTTTTTTGTTGTTGTTGTTAAAGTCTTTCTGCAAAGCAAATTGACCCATTTTTGGTTTTCTTTTTTCTTTTACAGTCTTTAGTAGATACTGGTCTCTGGATATATTTTATTAAGTTGGAAAAGTCTAAAACCTACCCACAGGTGGGTGTGGTGTCCAGTGCCATTGAGAAAAGCGGAGGCAGAAAGTTGAGTTTTGAGCTAGTGATGGGCCACCCCCACCACCTCCCCTGTGGGTAGAACATCTAAGGAAGTTAGGGGTCAGGCCTTGCATGGGAATTTCAGCAGGGAGCAGAATATGGCTTAGATATCTGCCTTACATAAATCATACTTGACAATGAGAAACAATGTTATTGATACTAGCACTGCTTTCTAGTGATAGCAGAAGGAAATGCTTGTTTTGCTTCTTAGTGCTTTGTCTCTGAACAGATAAGCTGCTGCAGCGGCCATAGACACAAACCCAACCTGGCCTTCTTCGAGACAGAGACTGGGTGTTTTCTCACCCTTTGGGAAACTCATGTGGAGCCCCTGGTATTGAGAAAAGCTTACCTCAAAGAAATTCTCTTCACCTGCTTGGAACCAGGCTTACCTATGTAGGGAACAACTGACTAGGGTGTACTTGGCTCTTGGGTAGCAGGGAGAGCTCTGTCAAAGGCAGGATTGCTAACACTTCCGATTGTAATTGAGGACTATCCTTCAAAAAAAAAAATTTAAAAATTTAAAGGTACCCTTTTAAACTAAGTTAACTTTTATTAGTCATCTTCGCTCTTACTAAAAATTTAGTGGTTCTTAAATAATTTCAAAGTATTTCCTTAAAAACTTGAAGGTTTGGGGGAATGAGGAAGGTGGTAATAAATATGACCAACTTTAGTATTGACAAGTATGAAGTGATGATATCAGTTCCAATTTTTTAGGTATGTATTTTGCCTTTGGCAATTTTATATATGCTAACCATTGAGATTGACTTTTAGGAGACAGAATTTTAATTCATTTTCTTAGCATAATTATTGTCCTTAAAAAGTAAAGGTAGGATTCACATTTTCACCTAGGCAGCTTTATGAATTAGACCTAATAACCTAATTTGCCAAGGCGTTAGTTTCAGACATGACTGGCTTTTCTTGCCAGCGAGAAGTGTGTTTTCAAGTTTTTAGTACTATAGTCTGTTTTGAACAGTTTTGAAAAGAGATGGTCTTAGAATCATTTAAAAGATCTCATGTTTACTGTTGATTTTAAAAAGAAAACATCTAGATTTATTAGAAAGCAACCAAATTTTCAAGCATGGAAAAGCATTTATTTTCTGAGTTGACTTAGTAAAAAGAAGAAATCACATAGAATTTAGCATGTGGTATTAGTTTTTATGGTAATGCTTTTCTTTATGATCTGTGAACTGCAATTATAATTAACTTTGAAGATTTAGAATTTGTCTCTATACCAGGAAGAAAACCATCAAATTCGAAAATTTGATTTTAGGTAAATTTAAATGTCTTGCAGAGGGATTACTTTAATCCAGGACTAAACAATTACCAGATGAGTTTTTTGAAAATATCAGTTTTATTTAGGTTTACAAGACACAACAATCAAAATTTTCAGTCTTCCAGAAAACTTTCTTCTCCCTCCTTTCTGCTTCTTATATCCTTAACAAAAAGATATTAAAAGGAAGAAATAATCTATAAAATCAAATCTGAAGTCAGATTCTCTCAGAAATAATGCCCGAAGAAAAGGAAGGGAAGGGAATTAATCTCCCTTTATTTTTAAATCTTTTCCAAGAAGATAAAAGGGTTGTTTTGTATGTTTCTAGCTTTTTGTAGGTTACTGTATAACTATGTATGCATTTTCAGTAGGAATTTAGAAAAGTTTTACAGCAATAGTTTTGTACAGACTGAGCAGTATTTGGTTTTCTGTGTTTAAATTCTCTTGAGTAGATGCTAATATCTAGTAAACACCTGCTGTTCTGTCCAGGACCCTAATTGGCCATACAGTTAGCCTGCAATACTCTTAGGATTTGTAGAATTTGAAGATCTGTTTTTATATCCTTATGAATAATTAGTATTTTTCCCCCTTTAGGATGCTTTAAGATCATGAAGCTGTTCCATACTGAGACTGCCACAGTAAGATAAGAAAGGACAATGTCATGGTGTAGGTAGTTACTTGCTGGAGAAATTAGACCATTTGGTTATGAGTCTGATGATTTTTGTTGTTAGTTGAAAATGATGAATACTATCACTGACTAATTATTAGCTGTGACAGTATGGATTGTTCTTTGCTGTGGAACTAAAGTGTATTTTGAAAGCTTTTTTTCTTTTTATAAAGAATGTCTTGTTGCGCCATGTTTGCTCGATTGAAAAAGTTTCCTCATCGCTTGGTGAGACCCTCCTCTAATTCAATCTTTGTCTTTTGTCTTTGCTGCCTTGCAGGGTTGGTACAGTAGGCTTCACTAGACTTAGCTGCAACTCAGAATTTCTCCTCCAGCACCTGAGTAAATGCTGATGGTCTTGTGGAGAGTGGATTAAAAGTACGAGCTAAGTTCTCAATCCCAGTTAAGAAGCGGAGGAAAATTTAAACTGTCTCCTTCAAAGTTTATCACAACCACCACCATCAAGACAGCAAACCAAAGGACAAAGACTTTGACCTGCTGTGTTACTCTGTGTAGTCCAGTTCACGTATGGTTTACAGACTTGGCTGGGGTTACTAATAAGTAAATACAAAATTGGACACTTCTATCATTTGGACACTTGTATTCACAAGTTACCAGAATGAGGGCTGTACTGGAGACAGCAGACATTGCCATAGTGGCCCTGTATTTTATCCTGGTCATGTGCATTGGTTTTTTTGCCATGTGGAAATCTAATAGAAGCACCGTGAGTGGATACTTCCTAGCAGGGCGCTCTATGACCTGGGTAGCAATTGGTGCCTCTCTGTTTGTGAGCAATATTGGGAGTGAGCACTTCATTGGGCTGGCAGGATCTGGAGCTGCAAGTGGATTTGCAGTGGGCGCCTGGGAATTCAATGCCTTACTGCTTTTGCAACTTCTGGGATGGGTTTTCATCCCAATTTATATCCGGTCAGGGGTATACACTATGCCTGAATACTTGTCCAAGCGATTTGGGGGCCATAGGATTCAGGTCTATTTTGCAGCCTTGTCTCTGATCCTATATATCTTCACCAAGCTCTCAGTGGATCTGTATTCGGGTGCCCTCTTTATCCAGGAGTCTTTGGGTTGGAACCTTTATGTGTCTGTCATCCTACTCATTGGCATGACTGCTTTGCTGACTGTCACTGGAGGCCTTGTTGCGGTGATCTACACAGATACTCTACAGGCTCTGCTTATGATTGTTGGGGCACTCACACTTATGATTATTAGCATGATGGAAGTTGGTGGGTTTGAGGAAGTTAAGAGAAGGTACATGTTGGCCTTACCCAATGTCTCTTCTATTGTGTTGACGTACAACCTTTCAAACACAAATTCTTGTAATGTCTACCCTAAGAAAGAAGCCCTAAAAATGTTGCGGGATCCAACAGATGAAGATGTTCCATGGCCTGGATTCATTCTCGGGCAGACCCCAGCCTCAGTGTGGTACTGGTGTGCTGACCAAGTCATCGTGCAGAGGGTCCTAGCAGCCAAAAACATTGCTCATGCTAAAGGCTCTACTCTTATGGCTGGCTTCCTGAAGCTTCTGCCAATGTTTATCATAGTTGTCCCAGGAATGATTTCCAGGATACTGTTTGCTGATGATATAGCTTGCATCAACCCAGAGCACTGCATGAAAGTGTGTGGAAGCAGAGCTGGGTGCTCCAATATTGCTTATCCACACCTGGTAATGAAGCTGGTTCCTGTGGGCCTTCGGGGCTTGATGATGGCTGTGATGATTGCAGCTCTGATGAGTGACTTGGACTCAATTTTTAACAGTGCCAGTACCATATTTACCCTGGATGTGTACAAACTCATCCGCAAGAGTGCAAGCTCCCGGGAACTAATGATTGTTGGCAGAATATTTGTGGCGTTTATGGTAGTGATCAGCATAGCATGGGTACCAATCATTGTGGAGATGCAAGGAGGCCAGATGTACCTTTACATTCAGGAGGTGGCAGATTATCTGACACCTCCAGTGGCTGCCCTGTTCCTTCTGGCAATTTTCTGGAAGCGCTGCAACGAGCAAGGGGCTTTCTATGGTGGAATGGCTGGCTTTGTTCTTGGAGCTGTCCGTTTGGTACTGGCCTTTACCTACCGTGCCCCAGAGTGTGACCAACCTGATAACAGACCAAGCTTCATCAAAGACATCCATTATATGTATGTGGCCACAGCATTGTTTTGGATCACAGGACTCATTACTGTGATTGTTAGCCTTCTCACGCCTCCTCCCACAAAGGATCAGATTCGTACTACCACCTTTTGGTCTAAGAAGAACCTCGTGTCAAAGGAGAGCTGTTCTCAGAGAGATGAACCGTACAAAATGCAAGAGAAGAGTATTCTGCGATGCAATGAGAATAGTGAGGCCTTGAACCACATCATTCCCAATGGGAAATCTGAAGATAGTATTAAGGGCCTTCAGCCTGAAGATGTTAATCTGTTGGTGACCTGCAGAGAGGAGGGAAACCCAGTGGCTTCCTTGGGTCATTCAGAGGCAGAAACACCAGTAGATGCTTATTCCAATGGGCAAGCAGCTCTGATGGGTGAGAAAGAGAGAAAGAAGGAAACAGAGGATGGAAGCCGGTACTGGAAGTTCATAGACTGGTTTTGTGGCTTTAAAAGTAAGAGCCTCAGCAAGAGGAGTCTCAGAGACCTGATGGATGAAGAGGCTGTTTGTTTACAAATGTTAGAAGAGACTCCACGAGTTAAAGTAATACTAAATATTGGACTTTTTGCTGTGTGTTCACTTGGAATTTTCATGTTTGTTTATTTCTCCTTACCAATTTAAGAATATGGTGAGATACTTTAACTTAAGAAAATACTGGTCTTTGAACAAAAATTATGTAACTGTTGCATCTCTCAGGCATTGTTTATGCTATAGGTTTTAGCCAAATTTTACTTAGCAGAAAATCATCTATTTGCAAGACTTTATTTTCCCAGAGATGAAGGAAAGTAGATCTTCAACTTAAGTGAAGCAAAACAGACTGAACTGTGCAAAAATGAGGTTTAAAATTTTCCATACCAAAGTAAGGAGAGACCAATTATTCTCATAGATTATTGAGAACAGAATACATGTTTAAGGTATCATGAGTAAAGAATGTTGTCTGCACTACTAAGTCTTGGTAGATCTTGTGCTGAAGGAGATTTGCTCATTTCTAAGTTGTTTTTTTTTCCTTTTCTGTCTCTGCAATCCCTACTACCATTAAAAACAAAAAAGAAAACAAAACAAACAAACAAAAAACAAACCCTGAATTCTGAGGCATTGTATGATGAGTTGTGTACTGAAAATCTAATGTCCTTGGTAGTTCAGGACAAGTTAGTTTGCCAGGTTTGGCTTATTAGCATGGGTCTGTGAATTCTGATTGCCAAAAGAAAGGAAAACTATCTTGCTGTAGATATTTTAGTACCACTTACCTATATGTAGAATGTTGGGGGCTTAGTTCCAGTACCTCCCCATTTTTTTTTTCTACTTTCACTGATGTTTAAGTGAACCATACACAAATGACTACCAAGTCTGTCTGTAAAGTTCCTTGTCATTGTGTTATTAAATGATCATGGGGGGAAGTGAAATAAACGTTGCTGATGATCCCCACATTTTTGACTAAATTAAGGTTGCTTTTAAATATAGTTTGAGAATTAACAGCTCCCAAGCAGTGTTTAACCTAGGCTAAACAGTTGATTTATTATACCCTGTCAACTTTCTAGCTTTTTTCTTGTCATTTGATAACCTTCTTTATCAGCCAAATGCCTTCCCAAGTGGATTCAGTTGGGAGATAATATCCAGTATCTTGAAGGAAAATTGACACTGCTTTTGTGCTGGGTTACTCTCCTTACTTAGATTATGATACATTGAGGGCGACATTTTAGAGGGAAAATTTAATTCTGAGATATTTCATTTTTTTTTTCACAAAAGATTTGCCATCTGCACACAGCCTGTACATCTTTGTTGTTATAGTCAGTGTAGAGCATGGGGATGTTTAAAGAAAAAACAAAATACCATCAGTAACAGAAAACTTAGGAGTGCACGCTTGCCATTGGTAGATTATAGTCTTCTGTAAGATGGATAGCATGTTCAAAAGGTGCCATGACAAGAACTTCTGGGTGTAGTAGTATGCTTGTGGAGGATATTGTAGGACTTAGGTAATTATAGGACCCTTATCTTGACATGGTTTGGTGCTCAGTTGCAACATCCCTGGGTAGGAAGGTTTTTCACAGGTGGTTTTTCCTTCGTGAGGACAGGGTACGGATAATATAGTTCTGTGTCCTCAACACTGTTCTTTGTCTTCCACGAAAGATGAGAAAGCTAATTACGTACCTACTTTATTTGACTTTCTTTAAAAACTGATACTTTTTAAAATTGCATGATTTTATTAAGCCTTGTATTCTTTAGGGGAAAATTACTTTTATAGATAATTTTGTAGATTTTGAATCAAAACTCAGTCCTGATGTCTAAATTTTTTGTACTATATAAATAGTTTGTTTATGATGGACATGATTAGTCCAAAATTGATTTTAAGAATTATCAGGTAACATAATGTCTTCCTATCTTCAGGAGGCTTTCTGATGGGCTGAGTCTGTAGATGAAAAAATAATTCATGTGTGAATAGCATGTATTTCTGAGAGCTTAGAGTGCCTTGTATAATTTTTCTCTTCTTAATTTCATTCTTGAGGTTTATAACCTGGAGGCCAAATAGATAGGGACCATCCTTTTCTTGAATGGAGGTTGAGGTTGTGAAATGTCCAAGGCTTCAAAAACTATTTGGGAAGAACAGAAACCAGGTCTCCCAATCTGACCTCAGAGTTTGTCCAGATATGTCTGAACAAATGGCTTGTCCATGGTTTGTGCTATTCGTTTCTCGAAGGAAGCATTCTTCCTTTGAATAACCATTTGGTATAAGGGAAAGTAATAGGGTCTTGGATTTTCCAGATTGGCATTCAGTTTTAGGAATCAACATTTCTTTGAACTCTGAACACACTGCTGTGTAACTCAGCAGTGAGAACTGGCACACTGGCCAGGCAGCCTTCCTATTCCTTCTGTGTATAGCATAAGTGAGTAGGAAGTATTTATGTGGATTTTCTCCCCTTTATTTAATGTTCAGTCCTAATAGTTTGGAGTATTAGGGTCCCCCTACCCTTCTTTCTGCTGTTGTCTTAGTAAGATACATAAGTACATCATCTTGTGTCCATGGGTGTGTATATAGCAGTAGGTCAAGTTTAGAGTACTAATGTCTGTAAATAAGAAATGACTATTAGCATATCCATTAGAATTGTTTATTCTTACCAGTATAAACACCTTTTTATTTAGACTGAAGTCTGTGAAGCTTGTCTTTATTGTTTTTTAGTAACAGATACGTGCTTGAAGCAGTATGTGAATTGCTGATGGCAACTTCCTTCTAGGGGAGTAATCTTCAGTCTATACTTAATTGGAATGATTCTTCCTGGATGATACATGGACTGTCTTAAGCTAGCAAAATGTTCATACTTTACACTAAGTAAATGAATCCTGAGAGATGACATTGATCTCAAAACATTAACGTGTGTTTTTATGTTTGCTCAAGCTCAGCTTCAGAATTGACCAAGAGTGATACTGACTAAATTAGTGGCTAAAAGTCAAAATGAGGTGAGATGAGGACATTGGTCTACAAAGGTAGCAAAGAGTACCATCTTACCAGCTCTGAATGGTATCCTTAGCACCTCAGTTTTTGTCTTCTCAGGCAGTAGTCATCTCCAAATATGATGAGAAGGGCTTATTACACTGGTTTGCAGAATGATTGCTGGCTCTTTGATTGGCTTCTCTCAGAAGACTTGTTCATCTCTCAGGAGATTGTGTTCTACCATCCCACCCCAAGAGTAAGCAGCTTAGCCACTTTCTCCCTCAGCTATCCGTTCCTAGGGAGGTGATCACTTCTTTCTTTGGAGAAGCATCAAGCAAAAGAAGTGGGTGCTGTGTGTGTCTTTTGGCTCCAGTTCAATATATCAGGGCTCCAGCGCTTCCTTTTCACTTGGCCCAAAGGATCCATTGACTTTTTGCACAAAGAGGCTGGCCAGGTTTGTGTAGCCATAGCTCTTAGGGGTGGCACCACAGGACATTATTCACAGGAGCTCTGTGAAACCTCCCATATTAAGAATTGGGTGGGAGTTTTGTTCTCTAACCCAAGGCTAAGCAGTAAATTAACAATCTTGTCCAGGGCATTCAGAGTCTTGAGTTCTACATAAGGAGTCTGGTGGCTTTTTCCTCTGTACCAGATACATGGTCTTCCCTCTTTTTCAATATCATCTACTGTAATCTATGGGTCATTCTCATTCTTTCGACCAAATAAACCAGCCATTAAAGGATTAGGTCCTCAACATTCCCACTTGGCATTATTAGGGTTACTTGATTATGTCATGCTTTACTCCTGTCTCATTTTCATCTGAGGCATTTGTCTGGAAAAGGGACCACATGTAGTGATGAGTCATTATTCCTAGGCTTGTGCTAGAAGCAGGTGTGTACAAGACAATTCCTATTAAGTTGTGTGACTGCAGAGCCTTTCCGGTGCACAATTTTCCTAAGAAATCAGAAAAACAATGAGATATTGACAAGTACTTGGGTCATAAAAGATGCAAACAAGTAAGTAAAAGACAAGCATTAGTTTAAAATCCATAGAGACTTAAGTCATTATTTCTTGAATTTTAGAACTTGAAGCATCTGGTTTAAGCCTCTTTTCATATAAATTACGGTTTCAGGGAATAAGATCCAGCCTGCTGACTCCTACTTTAATGTTAAGTATTGTAAAGTATGAATTTTACAAACTAGAGGTTAAAGTGACTGATTTGTTTTTTGGCAGTATTGGGGTTTGAACTCAGGGCCTCATGATGGCTAGGCAGGCCCTCTATAGCTCGAGCCACACCTCCAGCCCAAAGTGACTGATTTGATAGTGATAATTTAGTAAAAACTGTGTTTTTAGGCTTCAGTATTTGTAAGAGTTCTTACTCTCCTAGGCAAACCTTACAAATGGTATACATTGCTATATGTGTGTGTCTCACCTGCCATTCAGGGAGACTGGTCTTTTCTGTCTCCCTTCATATAGGTTCTTGGTGCTTCACCTGTTCTTTCAACACTTCCAAATTCTTGTTTTGCTGGTTGGTCAGTTTATTTCACTTTCAGGCATATTGTTTTGATGTTCAGAAGTACTACTTTGTCCTGTTACTGAGGACTTAAATCCAAATAATGATTCATTAGAATAGAATTAGGTTTTAAGTGTGCTAAAATTTTATTAGGCTAAAATGTTAAGAGAATAAATGTTTTGAGAATAATTTTCCCAGATTTTTTTTTACTAATAATAAAAGTATTAGTAGTTCAGTATTCTTAAAACTCCACTTTCAAAATTAGGGAGAGAGCAATAGTGAAAATTCATACAAGTCCCTTTGAAATGATGGTGTCAGAATGTAGAAGAGGTAGTGGACTTTGTTTTGCCAGAAAAGCCTTGGTTTTGCAGTAAATAAAGGCTAAAAATTTGAGGGTAATCAGTTGGCATAGAGAGAAACCGTAGACTTGGTTGACTTGGGGCTGTGGACCCCTTTCCTCATTAAGATTATCTTTCTTAATTTGGTATGCTTTTGTCAGACTTTTTCTGTTGCATGCTGTAGCTGCTCAGCTGCTTGGACTCCTAGTAGAGAATTTAGCTAAGGCTCTGAGTAACTCATAGGCTCTGTCAATGCTGAGTCCTACACCATTATTCACTTAGCCATAGAAATGTTTTTATTTAAACATCTTTCTGTCCAGTGCTGGAAATAAGGCTCTACGACTGATGTCATCTTTTAAAATACATTGTGAAGTTGATGTCATTTGTATTTCTGTTTCAACTGTTTTAAAAAGTGGGGTTTAGTTCATTTTTGGGTAAGCACCCAATTTTCCTGGTAATTAGCAGCCGTAACCATTGGCATATATAGCCTTACTCAGAAATGAGTGGAAAAGATTTGGTGTATCTATCATTACTGATGTCATGCACTTTACTTTTTAGGGTAGCATAACATAATCTGTGGCTGTTGATAACTTACCAATGAATTTGGTAAGCTGGATTCTTAGCCTTGCTGAAGAGAGGCATGGTAGAACAGCAGCTGAAGAGCAAGTCAGCACAGTCCATGGTGGTTTCAGATTTCTGCAGGTGCAGAGCAGTGGTTTTGCTATCCTCAGAAAGGCAGAAGAGCACTGTCTGTAACTTGCCCGTGATAATGAAGCCTCCTGTCCTCCCCCCACTTCCAAAGGATTTCTATTCAGTGAACTCCACCGGTAAGGTACATACTACAGTGATTTCAACAGCAACAGATACCTGCAACCTAATGGTATCTTGGTGAATTCACTCTGTTCCCTAGTGCTGCTGGATAAAGGAGTTAGATTTTTTTAGACAAATTAGGTAAATTTTCAATTTATTAATATAGCCTAGACTTCTATAGTAGAATGTTCATATAATTTGCTTTTTTGTTATGATAATTGGAAATTGAAATTAGGCTTCCTGCTGTCATTGAAATACAAGTTATCAAAGGCCAGTATATATGATGTCCATCGTATAGTTTTTGCAAGTTCTGTGTTTGGATTAGTGCCTTCAGGTTGCCAGTATTGACCATGCTAGCTTGCACCTTTCCCTTTCTTAGTAGAAATTTTTTATTTCTTTTTGTTCTTAAATTTTATTATAACTAGTGAAGGAGGAGGTTAAAAGATAAAACCACATATTTACAGACTTTTATGTGTAGTCTTTAGGTTCAAGGAAACAAGGTAGTTCAGTGTTTGTATTGGCAGCTTAATGTTATTTATTTGTCTTTATTTGCTTTTATATCCATAGTTGAAATTTAAAGTTATATAAATCTGAATATTCTTTAATTTTATCATTTTTTTCATTGTAAGTTTGATAAGTGTATCTGAGAACACGTTTGTAACAGTTCATATTCCATGAGAAGGAAAAGGCTAAAGTGAAAGTCCATAGAAAGCACAAAATCGTGTTCACACGTGTGTGTCTCCACACGTACAAAGCACAAGTGCCAGTCATAAACCCACCAAGTATTTTTCTCAAAGCTGTTAGGAAAATCACAGTATTAAGCCCTAGATAATGAGGTTTCTCAGTTACAGGTGAATCCTCAGCGATAAGGGAGTAAAAGTACTCTTAAGTATGTACTGCTTTGATGGAGAGAGAGAGAGAATACAGTTGACAAGAATTTAGTGATTACATTTGGAGTTAAATTGGGGTGTGGGCTCATTCCCAATCTAACAAGCAGGGGACAGACTTTAAGGTTTTTGGTGGGTAGAGCAGGTAACAACCTCCTTTAAGCTGTAGAATCACTGGAATTTTTTTTTTTTTTTTTTTTAAATCTTGGCTGGGAAATATTACCTCATCAACAGTGTTCTAAAAAACATGAAGAATTTCACATTTTACTAGGGCAAATACTATTAGTTTTTGTGTAGGTTTGTGTGTGAGATGAAATTATTTTTATTTTCATCATATGCTTGACTGCACTTCTTTTTAATAGAGGAGAAGTGTTCTGGGCATCAAAGTAATTCTGAGATAGATTTGCCAAATGAACTGTGTTGCTTTTCACAGTGGCACTTTGACGCTACTGGATTCTTTTTTACCTGTCTCATTGTCCTCTTCAAGACTAGCTTAGTGGAATACTAAATGTGTATGCAAAAGATGAAGATGTGTTTCTTACACTCAACATTGCGCTTATCCTACGCCTTATTCTCTTCACCTTCACATAGTCCATGTTCACCAAGAATGAATACATAGCTGTCTTGAATTTTGTCCTATGTCAAGATACAACTCTGAATAGCAGAGAAGTGACTACTTTTGTTTCTACTTCTCTGTTTTGTGCATTTATCTTAGGGAAAGCCTTGGTAAATTCTAATATGAAGATTATAGCTGGTAATAGAAG